CGAGGAGGCGGTGGCGGCGGCGAGGCCAGCTACAGAGCGTTCCCTGCGCATGCGCAGGGGATGCTCTGTCACTTTCGGGGGGGATTTAAACTTCCCCCCAATTTTTTTTCAACTTTTAGCATTTTGGTGCACACGTGGGGACTGCCCCACGTGTGCACGCACCTCTTCCTGCCCCCCAGCTGCCCCCGGAGCGCGGATTTAGATATCCGCACTCACGGGGGCAACTTCGCTATTAGTATAAGGATATGGAGCAGAAGTCCATCAGTCGCTATTAGCCACAAGGTATAGATAGGGACTTTGAAGCAAGTGATGCTCTGTATTCTTGTTGCTTGGGGGTGGGGGGTCAACAGCGGGAGGGCTTCTAGTGTCCTGGCCCCACTGCTGGACCTCCTGATGGCACCTGTTATTTTTGGCCACTGTGTGACAGAGTATTGGACTGGATGGGCCAATGGCCTGATTCCACATTGGCTTCTCTTATGTTGTTATGCCTGGCGCATACTAACTTTTGGCAGTTAATAGAGGTAATGGCAGTAATCAGCAATCCCTGTGCTTATCCTTTGCTCTTGAACAAATCCTTAGGTATCAGCACACAGGTGACTTCCATACTTTCAGTAGCTTGTGGCAAGCAAGAAACACAGTTTCCCTATTTATCTGTTCAAGGAAGAGTAATCGTGGCTGCACAGTTGGGGGGGGGCTGGAGTGAGGAGGGAAATAGAGTTGAAATCGCTCCCCTGTCCTGTTCCCCCTTACCAGAGGCTGTGCGTGTGTGGGGGGGGGCAGTTTTATCCTCTTGTTCTTCCTTACTCCATTCTGCCGATCCTCATATCTGTTTCCATCTATGAATTCTGGTGCCTCAGAAATGATCTTTCCAGGAGTCAGCAGGAGCTGCAATGATGGAGAAAAATGTGGGCAAACTCTGTGTGGCTTTTGTACATGAATGGTAGGATACTGCCCATTATTTTTGACTACAAACCTCAGTAGTACCTTTAACAATAAGATAGTTCCTAGACTAATCAGACCATATACTAAAGATGCTAATAAAAGGAAAACAGTTTCTTAATTTTTATGTTGTCATTTCAGATACATTTATTTCAACCAATACAGAACATTTTAGGTTCTGTACAACATGTACACAAAAATATGAAGAAATTTGGAGCCGTGCATAACTTCTTTGCATTGGGGACTGTTTCTAATAATGTGTACATATTGTATAGTTTTTGTAAAACTGTGTTAAAAACTACAGCTTGGATCCTGTTGAAACTTACCACATGGTAGGAGTTCCATCCACAGTATCCACCTTGTCTTTTCCCCTTCCCACTGCAGCCTAAAAATGCTGCTCCTGGGGTTAATCCTAAGAACAGCATTGGGAAGAGTTGGAGGGCTGCTGTGGGAGGAGGTAATCAGCAAAAAATTGCTCCTTCCACATATGTGGATTTGTTAAAAGGTTCTGTACAACGCTTACATTTCTGTCCCAAAGAATTTACTACAACAATAGAGAGGAATGACAGGTTTTCTGAGAACATTGTAAAGTGTAATCTATATTGATGGCAAGGGTGTATAAGAGTATACTTTTATAGATACAGATTTCCAGTTAAGGAGAGGGGCTGTAACTTACTAGTAGACTGTATGTTTTACATGCAAAAAGTCCCCAGGTTCAGACATCGGCATCTCCAGATAAATGGACCTGGCAGGGGGGAATCTGTAGTTAAGACCCTGAGATCCTCTGCTATCCTCTGCTAATCAAAGTAGAAAATGCTGGGCTGTTTGGACCAGTGGTTGATTTAATATAAGGCATTGTTCAAAGCTGCGATCCTATGCACAGTTATAGGGTGGTGAGTACTATTACACTGAGTTGGACTTAAATCTGAGTAAATATGCATAGGATCAGTTTGCATATGATTTAAACTCCTTGTCCTGATGAAATCTTTAGCACCTTCTACAGCACTATGTATTCTAAACACAAACAAAATATGTAGCCAGGTTCAGTGTATGTCTGTAAAGTGCCATCAAGAGACATTTAGAGGTGGTTTGCCATTGCCCTCTTCTGTGACTCTGGAATTCCTTCATGGTCTCCCATCCTAGTATTAACCAGGGCCAACCCTGCTTTGCTCCCAAGATCTGATGAGATATGGGCTAGCATGGGCCATCCAGGTCTGGGCAGCCAGGTTCAGTACCCTCCAAATAATCTACTGCTGCAAAAGGGTTATGTTTATAGAAAATTTTTAATAGTTGTATTAGAAGTAGTTAGGCTTACCCCTAAGAAAGTTGATGCACAAGTGCAGCTTTAACTTACAGAGGTTTACTTCTGAGTAAATGGCATGAGACTGCTGCCAGGAGAGAGGAAATGGAGAGCAATTAAGAGTCATGTGCTGCAAGTCCCCTGACAATAACACACACATCAGCAAAGCCTAAGCTGCACAGAGTTCTGTGTGATGATGTATGATTGTGAAGGAAATGATGTGTGGTCATTTAAGGATCTTCTTTGTGGTCTTGATGCCTGCACTCGAATCTGACCTCGGAGAACTTCAAGAGCTAGCCTCTGGCATTTTAGCGTCCTCTTCTCCCACACTCTGAG